CACAAAATGAGCATCCTATTCTTCTACAAGATTGTCAAATTCTAGTATTCTATTATCTTCAACTTCTTGTTCTTCTTCGTCAACTAGGGACAAAGTATATAAAAATTAGAGGAAGGCCAGTAATTCTCAGTTAAAAACTAGGCAGCGAAAGAAGAACCCAAGGATTGGCATCAATTCTGAGAAAGAACCGAAGGTAAAAAAAAAATTCGCCAGCATTTCGCTGCTTTTTGGAGGTTTAAACAGTGAAAGAAAAAGAAAAAGAAGAAGAAGAAGAACCCTAGTTGATGCTTTCAGATTCTTTCAGAAACAGAAGTATATGAAGAAGAAGAAGTCGACCAGACCCCTCGCTGCTGTTGGAAGAACCCTAGTCGCTGCTCTTTTTAATAAAATCGCGTCTAGACCAGTGTTTTTAATCACAAAATTGCGTTTTTAATAAAATAGGGTTGGGACTCTGTTTTAAAATAGAGAAGCGGGCGCTTCTACCGCTTCGCTTTCCCGCTTCTCGCTTTTTAGTGGGAAGCGGTCCTGAGTCGCTTCACCCTGCTGAAGCGTTCCCCTTCACGCTTTGTCTCGCCTCTCGCTTAAAGTGATGAAGCGGGCGCTTTTTTAAACATTGGTTAGAGCTTCTTTAATCGACGGCTTTGGAGGAGGCCCACTTGGCCTATTTAGGGGCTCAAAGGGGTGTATTCCCTGCATGTAAGCACAGGATGCATCAAGGATATGTATCATCTCCTTAACCTCATCATCAATCTCCAAGCTATCGAACAACATGAGTGCTTTCTCTAGAGAATCGTCTAGATATACACTCGCGTCAAGAAGTTGCTCATCCACCCCCACAACAGATATCATAGAGAGCTCCTCATAGTGGCGGGGAAGTTGGATTGCCTTGTAGACATTAAAGACCGCTTCCTCGTTATCCACCCTCATAATCATTTTTCCCTCTCTCACTTTAATAATTGCATCATCAGTAGCCAAGAGAGGTCGTCCAATATGATTGGAACCAGTTCATCAGCCTCATAATCTAGGATAATGAAGTCTGCAAGGAAGATGAATTTCCCAATTTGCAGCAACACACTCGGGGTATGCTATGGACCTATCAGCTAGCTGCAACATCACAGTGGTTGGTCTTGGAGCTCCTAGACCCAATTGCTTGAACAAGGACAAGGGCATCAGATTTATGCTCGCCCCCAAATCACAAAGAGCACGACCCACATCAATATTACCTATTCGCACAGGGATGGTGAAGCTGCCAGGATCCTTAAGCTTTTGAGGAAGCTTGTTTTGGACCCTTGAAGTGCACTCCTCAGTAAGTGCAACTGTCTCGAATTCAGTCAATCTCCTCTTGTGAGCCACTATATCTTTTATGTACTTAGCATACTTTGGAATTTCACGAAGTACATCCACCAATGGAATATTCAATTGAACCTGGCTCAACATAGAGAGAAATTTGTTGAGCATGCGGTCATCATTCTTTTTCTGCAATCTCGGGGGGGAAAGGTGGTGGTGGCCTTGCAGCCTCCACTGTTTCTGAACTTGCTTCATCTTTCTTTGACTCGTGTGTTGCTTTAGGAATCAACTCCCCCTCAGGTATAGGCTTATCCTTTCTCTTCTTTGGCACTTCCTCTAGTTCCCTCCCGTTTCTGGGTGTAACTGCATTAACTTGAGGGTTCTTCTCTGTATCACTGGGAAGAGGGCCTGCAGGTCTAGTATTTTGATTTGTTGCTAACTGCCCCATTTGCCTCTCCAGATTTCTGAAATCGGTCCTGAGCTGTTGATTGTCAAGTAACAACTTCTTCAACAAGTCATTCGTACTCTCTTCTATTTGTTGGGGTGGCTTCTGAGGTTGATTGAAATTTCCTTGGGGCCTATAATGATTCTGAGTCGGCTGGTTTCCACCCCAGGAGAAGTTAGGATGATTCTTCTAATTTGGATTGTAAGTGTTCCCATATTGTGCATGCTGATTCATCGGACCTCTGCTCTGTTGCCCCACATAGTATATAAATTCAGGATTCGTGGGGCACATGTCACTCGTATGACTGTCACCACATAGTTCGCAGCAAATAGACATTTGTTGTACATGTTTCATTTGTTGTGTTTTGTTGCATTGTCTTTCTATTCATCTGATTTGCCAATTTTGCTATATCGGCTCTCATGGCAAGCTCAATCACCCCGGCTGCTTTCTGTTTAATTGCTCTTCGTGAGTCCCCATCTCCTTGCCAATCATGATCATTAGCAGTGAAGTTATTTAGCAAGAGTTGGATTTCACTATACGGCCTCGCCATGCAACTACCTCCACAAGCTGAATCAAGATTCATCTTTGATGCCTTGTCTAGCCCATCAACGTAAGTGTGACCCAACACCTCATTAGTCTGACAATGATGCGGACAGTCTCTGAGTAGCTTCTTGTATCTTTCCCAAGCTTGACGAAGTGTCTCTTCATCCGGTTGTTGGAACCCAAGAATCTGACTCCTCATCGACTTTGTCTTCGTAGTGGGGAAAAACTTGATTAAGAATTTCCTTGCTAAATCATCCCAAGTGTGGATTGAGTTCGCAGGCTCCTTTTGCAACCATTCCTTAGCTTCCCCAGCAATGAAAAGGGAAATAGTGTCGGCCTGACATAGTCCTTGGAAACGTTTGGATAATTTTAAATGTCTGGAATTTCCAGGAAATTCTGATGTGCCTCTGCGGGTTTTCACGAGATAGACCCACATATTGCCATGTGGACTGAATTAGCTGTACCATGTACTGTTTGAGTTCAAAATGCCCTGTGATATCAGGCTTCACAATAGCCTGAGTCATATTGGCAAGATTGGGCCTTGCGGCTTCTATCACCGCACGCTCTTCATTATCGGCCATCTCTATTGGCTGTGGTTGAACTATGATGTCCAACTCTCTTTCTATTCTAGTTCTAGCTTCGATCTTCCTCACTCTGTGAAGTGTTCGTTCAATTTCGGGATCAAGAGGAATGAGGTTGTTTGCGCTTCTACTCCTCCGCATTCAAGAGAGATTAAAACCTGAACAAATAACTAATACAAGCTTAACTCAGTCAAGTAGCTAATTTTTAAGTCCCAGGCAACGGCGCCAAAAACTTGTTGCGACCAAACACACTCACGCAAGTATACGTGGTCGTCAAGTAATAAAGTAGTGAGTAGAGCATCGTTCCCACGAAGACTTATGATTAACTTTTAACTGATTCAAACTCAAACAACTTATCTATTCAAGAGATTTCTCACAAAATGTATAAGTGACTAATTTACTACCTAAAATTATCAAATAATGAAATAACTAGAAATCAACCACAACACTTAAACAATTTCGGATAACAATCAATAGGAGAGGATATTCCAGGGTCACAGATTAGCTAACAATCATGTTGCGTTCTTGGCTTAAAATGACTAATTGATTTATCTGGATTGTTGATTGACAGAGTTGATGTTACTCATAAGAATCTGTCAAGTTCTTACTCGCCTATTCAAGCTAACTTAATGCCTATATGTCTATGGAATTAAGATTAACAAGAATGCATTTACAATTCCTGTATTTCAACCAAGCAAGGCAATTAGGTATATGTCTATCCTAATTGCGAATCCATTCCCCGATGCCCGGGTTCAAGAACCTGCCCTATTTAATTTTATATGCAATCTAGAATTCCCACTTTCGAGTTCAACTCTAGATTCGTAGATAGTATTTCACTGTTAGCTACTCAGCAAAATAACTAAAAACAGAATTAAATGAGCAACCCAATATGATAAAACCAAATTCGTCAATTTAAACTTCAAACATTAACATTCATGTAGCACCCATGACCCCAAAACAACTGGGTTCTTAGCCACTCATGTTCATACAATCATGAAAAATAATGTTTTCAAACATAAAATCAATGAATACTAGAAGTAGAATGGAAGAATTGATCAAATCCGTGCTCCCGAGTGTTTCGTACTTTTGTTCCTCTCTCAAAGTCACGTTCGCCCCTTCAAAATAGGTTTAGGTTGGCTTTTATATGAGTTGAGGACGTCTTGGGGTCGAAATAACCGAGTCCTAGTCGAAACAGGACAACTTCACGTTTTGAGCGTCCAGGGCAGCGTGGGGCGCTAGCCCTGGCGCTCAACTTCTCAAACTTCTGTAAAGTGCGCCACAGGCAGCGCCCCACGCTGCCTGTGGCCCTCAAATTTCACTTTCGCCTTTTCTTCCCAATTTAGCTCCAATTCGTGCCATTTCCTCCCAAATTGCATCCGAATGACTCCTACACATAGAAATACCACAAATTAGCACAGATCATCATATTATACATCTCAATTCTCCGAGATATGAGCAAAATGTGAGGCAATATACATCAAAATATGCATACATTAAGCCAATTATCACTTAGGATTGTCCAAATCCACATTACAGGAAACGCTAGAAATTCTCTTCCTTGAGTGCATTTCGAGATCTGGAATCCTAGGCTTCACACATGCTAGTAGGCTCTGCCAAATTGGAGGCAGGGATTGAACTTACTGTTTTGGTGCATATAAACAAAAAGTCCAAGCCTTTCCTTTTGTAGTTGAAAGCTGGAACAGGTACTTTATTGCAAAGCCCAATTTCAAAATATACTTTGTCCCAAAAATAATGTCTAACAATCCTAGTCTGCTTTCTTGTCGTCCAAAAAATGTCCTTGCTTACCTTATCTAAAAAGAAAATAAATAAAAGAGAAATACTTGCTTCCTCAGACGAATTTTCAGTTTGCTTTTTTAATACTACATCTAAGGATAATATTCATAAGGTAAGATGTCAAGCAAAACACTCTGCTCGAGAAATAATTCCCGAACTGACAATCTTCTCAAACTGAATCCTAACATCTTAATTTAATAACAACTCAATTCCGAACTAATACTTTATTTATCACCTGTCAATGCCATATTTGATTCTTTTAAAACTAGAAGCTACAATATTGAAAATTCAATTTGGGATGCAACTTTTGAATTGTATATCTAATCCTGTTGTAACTTTTGACTGTGCAGCTATATGCAAGAAGGCATTTTTTGTTCCCACCATTGAGCATCGAAGAGTACAATGATCGAGTCATGGCAGTAGTACGTTGCGAGGCACAAGTATGACTCTCTCACAAGTCTTAAGGCCTTATGAAGATACATTCTAGATTATTGATGTATGCTTCCCATGATTATCTTGTATAATGTTTCCCTCGAGAGACAAATCCGTGTTAAGAGTACTTATTTGCTGTCTCCAATAGGAGACAAATATGGACTAGGAACATCTTGATTATACTTTTTATCCTCTTTATGGACTTATAAGGGCATCAAGACTCTAAAAGTTTGGCTTCCCTCCCACGAGAACAAAAGGCATTGAGATGATTGTACTGCATAATGATGTAAATCTTCCGCAGCTAATTACATGCTTTGAGATGTTAAAAAGAAAAGATACTAGGAATGATTTTACTGCATAATATGTGAAATACTTCATATTTGCTTGCATGACAACTGTGTATACATGCTTTGAGATGTTAATACTTCACGCTTTCAGCTGCACAGTTGTTTTAAGATAACGTTTTTTTAACTCAATTAGCTTAGGTTTTTTCTTGAGAAATGTTCCTTTTGATTGGTATTTGAGAAGGTGCTGAATACAGAAGGATTCAAGAATATCATACTTAATTTCCCGCCTTATACTTTCTTCCTTTAAGATCTTGGTGTTATGTGATGATACTTTATTGAATATGCATGGTACTTTTCTTTTTCATGTCAACTTCTTCATAAGGTGGAACTGTTGAGTTTTTGTGCTCATTGCAGGATGCTATGTTGCAGAAACTTATAAACGACAATATTTTGTCAGAAGAAGAAAGGTAGATATTTACATTTGAGCTGGGCTTTTTCCTTTTGGATGTTCATACGAGGTTACATGTTAACTAATCCTCATCTTTGGAATTTGTGGATTCTCAAATCTTTGTTGTGCTAACAGCTTTATACTTTACAAAATAGAGCAACTTTCTCCTTCCTCAAACAAACCAAAGTAGCTTTTCATATTACAATTATTCATGAAGTCAAGGATTTCATTCATTGTAGATTCCTATCTTGTTTATACTCAAGCCATCTTCCTACATTGCCACACCCTTCTAAAATGCGTCTTGCAGAACTTATTTGATGGCCTACAACTGTTTGAAAAATTAGTTTGTGCCAAAAAGATGATAAACACGGGTTACACAAGCGATTTGTTTGTTGAAGCAGGATCACTTAGGCTGAGATGAGATGGTTCTTCTGATAAAATCCAACTCAGGAGGAGAGTAGTTATATCAATGTTTCACCGCCATAACTCAGTTGTTGTTTGACAAATTTATGGTTTAATTCTATTCTCAACCGAGTTCAGAGTTCCATTTTTTCTTTTCCAACTCAACTAATGGATTGATTAGGAAGGATATGGTAACAGATTACGAGGAATAGGAACGTAAACACTACCCTGCCCAGCCCCCACGGTGCGGGATAAGACTGGGTATGTTGTTGTTGTTTTATTAAGAGGAATAGGAAAACATACGAGTTCCCAAATCCTTATTTATGAATTTTGATCTCCTGCATTTCTCTTTCCATTTTTTTCATGATGTCATTAGCCTCTTCCATTACATCAAATTCATAAATCTATGCTTATCGCAACTTAAATGTTGGTTTTGTAGATGAAATTTTTTGGGGAAGACTGTTAGGATTCTATATTGAGATGTCTCTGCCCTTGAAGGGGTCGTTCGGTTCAAAACCAGATTATCTTTCTAACCAGGATGGATAATCCTATCTTCTATGTGGGATAGATAATCCCATGATTTTGGTATAAATTTTATTCTAGTTTTAGCTAATATTCACAACCAAAAATTGGACAAATTTATCCCAAATTTTATCCATAATTTGTGTAACCAAATGGCCCCTAAATGTATTGTTTAATTTATCCCCGTTAAACTACAAAAGAAGTATTACTTGTAAAGCAAAGGGAAAAAACCTCATGTTTATCATGTGATTTTGACCGTGTGTATGTGTTTCCATGTTGAAGGGGTGTGCTTCGTTGGGGGAAAAATATTGTTTCAGGCAAAACTCGGACGAAAAAGCGTGCCGGTGTGGCTGTTTACAACCGAGCTTCTTCACTCGAAACACTTGTCAGTTTTTCCCTATTTTTAAGAATAGCGAATTAACTGCTTTATCTGTGTTTTCATCTGTCATGTGCTGTTTATTAGAGTCAATCAAATATTTTCCTTTTTCGGTAGTTTAGAAGCTAATGGAATTTTTTATGGAGTGCATATGATTTTTTCACTTACCAAATTGATTTTTCTAGTATTCTCTCTTGCAGGTTGGTTATCTTTACCTTACAAATGTGCAAAGGCTAGACGTAATCATGCTGAAGTTGGGCTTCTGTACAGGTGACTCTAACCTGCCAATTGTGGAGAAAATAGATGGTAAGCTGTTTCTTGGACTCTAAATTATTGCTGGCAATTAAGACTCACTTTTCAATCACCCGCCCAAACTGCCGACATTTAAGCGGGTTGGTTGAATGATATTTGAATATGGGTTGAGCCAATATTTAACCGGTGACAAATTGGGTTTTGATGGGTTTATTGTGACAATATGGGTTCTGCATGGTGGGTTGGTGAGTTTGGTTAGGTTTTGCTCAGTCCCCGCACTCTCTTAGGGACAGTCGCCTTACTCCATCAGACAAGTGGAAAGGTCTGTGCTTCATTCTCTTCTCTACCTTGATTGCTAATATGGATATAGGGACATCACATATGTTTACTTCTGATGACCATTCTCTTGAATTCATGCGGATGATGATAGCTAACTACATTAAGAGTATTATTTACAAGCAGAAAATAACAGGGAATGCTTGAAGTTTGTAAGAACATTTTCGTTCTACTGACGTGTCACTTGTTGCTACATCACTGGCATAACTCACTACTAAAAGTTTTATACTACTTGAGAGTTAAGGTAGAAGACTAGTAGGTAGTCGAGAGTGTTTCTTACCCGTATCAGTAGTATTAGTGTTAGTCTTGTATTTTATTATTGGTAGGTTTCTACTACTACATGTTGTTCTTTTCGCTTCGTTTTCCTATTATCTTGTTGTTTTACTACTGTTTTCTTTTCATTTTTTCTTGAGTCGAGGGTCTATCGAAAACAGCCTCTCTACTGTCTAGGTAGGGGTAAGGTCTGCGTACACACTACCCTCCCCAGACCCCACTTGTGGAATTATATTGGGTTTGTTGTTGTTGTTGAGACCATGTGAATGAAGGTGGATGACTCAGTTAAATTTATTCTGAATTCTCTACCTTCTGAATATTGGCATTTCCGAATGATCTATAATGCTATTAAAGACATGTAAAATGTTAGTGAATTGTCCAGTATATTTACTCAAGAGGAGTCAGTACTTAAGAATCGGTCAAAGATTTGGTAAATATCTAAAGTGAAGGCCAACAAGTTTAAGTAGAAGAAAGCAATTTCACAGGATGCTAAGATGAAAAGTAAGGCATAAAAGTATCACTTTTGTAATAAAGAACAGTATTAGAAAGATTGTACGAAACATAAAGCTTGATTTGAAAAGAAAGGTTATAGTGCTTTTATATTTTACAAATCGAATTTAGCTAAAGTTCCTAATAATACTTGACAGCTTGATTCTGGTGCAATTACTCATGTGTCCAGTGTCCACTACGGTGCAAGGATTCATCACGATCCCAAGCACAACCCCGGATGGGGAATTCTTGGTTATGCAAAATTGTATGAAGCTTCCAACCGAAAGGAATATGGATTTACCATTTGATCTTGGACCTTGGACATTAACTTAATTGATGATACTCTCTCTGTGTTCCTTTAGTTTTTAGGAAGTTGGTTTTCTTTTTCAAGATTTGATATTTTGGTATTTTTGTTCTTCATGATGCTGATGTTTCTATTGATGGTTTATATAAATCGAAACTTCATAATGTATTTTTTGAACCTTTTCATTGTTCATCATAATGTTGGAATCAAAAATATTTACTGGACGAAAAAAATTCTGCATACTTTGTGGCAAAGACTTTTGGGTCATATATTCGAATAAAGGTTAGTAAGATTAATAAAGAATGAGATTCTTTCAAATTCAGGTTTCAATGATTTTGAATGTTTTGTTGCATCAAGAGAAAGCAAACCAAACATAATAAAACAGGTGCAGGAATAAGTAGCCAGCTTCTTCAAACTATACACATTTGTATGTGCTTTGATGTTCCATCTTTTAGTGGAGAAAAATATTGTATCACCTTTTGTTGTTGATTTTTTACGTTATGGATAATGCCTATTTGTTGAAAAAAAATCTCAAATGATGAATGCTTTCGAAGTATACTTAAACGAGGAATGACTCATCATGCTTCTAACCATGTACATAAGTGTCCAATACACCTTATATCTTTTTGTTAAGGCATCCCTCTCACGGTATACTGTGCACATATGCCATGTCCTTCAAGAGACTTTGCAAGTACACCTGGATGTTGCCTCGATCCATTATGATTTCCGTAATATTCAGCATCTCTGTCTGGCCTAATGAGTTTCATCCTTTTGTCTAATTGCTTTTTAACCTCATTTATTTATACCTTGAGAGTGTCTGTTGCTCGAGATTTTTCTTCAACAAATAAGCATATCCATAACGTGAAAAGTCATCAATAAAGGTGATAAAAATATTCTCCACCAAAAGATAGAATATCAAAGTATCCGCATATGTCGGTGGGTATAATTTCAAGAAGTTGGCAACTGCTTATAAATACCTTTCTAATTATGTTTGATTTGATTTTCCTTAATACAATCAAACATACAACAAGATCGCTAAAATTTATAGTTGGATGAATTTCATTCTTTTACTAATCCTTGTAACATTCCTTTGGGTATATGACCTAAACGTCTGGTCCTTTGTGCCACAAGTAACAAAAACTTTCATCCCATGATCCAATTACAATGAACAGGAAGAAGAAATTTAGAGAACACATAATCAATATCTAATTTATATAAATCATCAATAAAAACATCAGAGCTATAATGAATAAGGTTTATAAATGATTAACAAATCCATGTCCAAACTTAAAACTAAAGCAGGAAGCATCAAGTTGTTGTAAGAGAAACCAAATTCCTAAAAAGTAAAAACTGACAACAGATAAAGAGTTTGTAATAGATCAAGATAATGTCCGGTGTCTAAGATTAAATAGTAAGTCCTTGTGTTTCAATTGGAACCTTTATACGACTTCCCCGACAAAGAGGTCCTCATATGGGTTTGTGATTTGGATCATGATGAATCCTTACAACATAGTAGACATTTGAGTAGTTGCTTAAAAATCAAGCTACCAAGTACTATTAGGAACTTCGTCTAAGTTCGATTCGAATATATAAAGGCAATAAATGTACCTTCTTTTTTGAATGGTAATAAGTGTACCTTTTTTTACGGTTCATGCAATCTTTCTGATAGTGCCCTTTTATACATAAATAACACTTGTTTGCCTTACATTCTTCCTTAGCATCCTGTGAACTTTAGCAGATGCTTTCTCTTTCTTAAACTTACTGGCCTTGACTTAAGATCTTTTACCAACTCTTTGACCCCATAAGGCTAATGGAATGATTTCCTTACTGAAATCTTGACTCTTCTTGAGTAAGTATACTGAACAAGTCATTGGCAAATGCTTTGGCACTTTAACGGATACACCATTAATCACCCTTGATTCCTTATCTTTTGACCTGACACCAGCGAGAGCAAGAGGGAGAGTGGGGGACACCGAGGACAATTGCTGAGGTGTGAAAATTTTGTCCTTCACTGACAAAAAAGGAAGATGAGATTAAGAAAGAGAAGAAGATGAGGTGATTGAGAGAAGATTCCAAGCTGGAGAAGGAGAGGGAAGACGCGGCCAGCTGAAAAATGAGCTTGGCCTCAATGCTTAGTTAGAGGTTTGCCAGGAAAAGAGACCAATTAGAGCAAGAGGGACAGTGGAGGACACCGAGGACAATGGGTGATTTACCAAAATTTGGTACTCCACTGATGAAAAAGGAAGATAGTGTGAGAAGGAGAAGAAAATGGGGTAATTGAAAGAAGATCCCATGCTAGAGGAGGAGAGAGAAGAAGCAGCCTGCTCAAGCGAGGGTAAATGTTGGTTCCTGCTGTAGCCTGTAATGTCGGTTCCTGCTTTACTTTGCGGCTATTTGAAATATGTACATAAGTCTGTATGACATGTGAGGGTGAACTATTCAAAGGCAAAAAAGGGTCACGAGCCTGATGAACCGAGTATCTTTTAGGTCACTTAGCTTGTCTGCTATCGTGCTGGCTCAAAGTTAAGCTGATATAAACCTACGGGAGAGAAAACCAAACAGACCCCAGTTGCTTGAATCTAGTGTGTGGTTTACTTACGCCCTTGTTGATATTACATACCATGGTTCATGATTCTTAATTCTGAGATATTCCAGAGTTGCTGAAAGTGGCAGATTCTGCACCTAAAACGCGGGGGTTTGAGTGATCTATGCAATTCACTTTTTAGTCCAATGGCTTTGGGTGATCTATGCAATTTAGTGCAATGGCTTGAAATTTTCAAATTTGTTGAAAAATGGAAGAAGTGAGTCACGATTTTGTCCATGTCCTCTTTTCCCCCCTCGCATAAAGAAGAAAATTGTCAAATTTTCTCCTTTGACTTTTACATTTTGTTCGTCAAAGAACTCAAAGCTGTCTACAGAAGTTGTACATATGCTAACTTTTAAGCTTTGTTCCCGAGGAAGATGGTCCCCACCCCCACTTTCTTTCTATGACATTGAGAATGAGACGAGTTATGGGCCATGAGATGACTCATATTTTCAACTTATACATGGCCCAATTTCAAGGGGCAGATGATATGTCCTTTTCCGTGAAATAAGTTTATCACAGAATTGAAAGACTAGTTTATGTGTCTGCTTATCCAAAAAAAATTATATGCATCTGTTCATGTGGAACACTCGCTTCGCCCGATGACTCAAATTTTCAACTTATATGAGTCCAATTTCAAGGGCCATATGATACGTCTTTTCCTTGAAGTAAGTTCATCACAGAATTGAGAGACTAGTTTATCCAAAAAAAAAAAAACTATATTTGTCTGTTCATGTGGAACAATAGATTGTACCTTTTCATGTAATTTGCTGGTTGCTCTTTTCTCCTCTTTTCTATCCCCTGATGGTTGCAACAACTGAACTTTTGGAATTGGATAGATGGTGGAACTTTCTTTTGCCGCTGGTGAGTGCAGTCTGTTGTCTTACCATTTTCTATACCATAAAGGAAAGACATAGGAGTACATCAAAGCTTTTGTAGGAATACTGGAACATATTATTAATCTATTATATGTGCAGGAAACTCGTTCTCACCATTTCTCTTTTCTGTAACATCTCTGCTCCGTTCCCTGAACTGTTTAGTATTGCTTTTTCCTCACCTTTAATGTGTGAGTGTGGGATGTAATCTTGTTTATATTTACTGTAATACTTTCAAGTTTGACAAATATTGCATGTAATAGGTACAACAAGGTGATGTTGGTGGAAGTGATGAAGTTCATGAAGTGCAATTCAATATAAAAAGGACAGATATGTCCAATGGCATGCTGAAAGTAATGAGAGTCTCAAAAACAACATTGTTCAGAAGGCTGTTATAACCTCTTCACTGCTTTCTCTTTTCAATATCTCAAGAGCTTGGATGTGGGCTCATCGTATTTCAAAGCTTAGATAGAAAGAAAGAGGTCGGGTTGTTCTGAGATGGAGAAACATTCATACTGACAGCAGAGCTATGATTTCCTCGTTAATACTTCTGGAAAATATATGCATAACTGAATGGGTTGAGGAATGTGTTAGATTTGCTCATTCGCAGTTCTTAACTTGAGGGTAAATTGTTCGTGAACACGTTTGTAAGTAGCTATGTTTTGTAACAGGTCATATGTCATGTAATACGTGGTAATTAAATTATTCGATTGACTTTTTGGAGGAGAATAAGTTGAGGTTTAGTATCTTTTTTACTCTGTGTTTTCTCCCCTGCCCCTTTTCTTATTTATTATCGTTTATCACTCTTTTTCTCCCCTAAGCCTTGGCGTAACTGGTAAAGTTATTGTCATGTGACCAGGAGGTCACGGGTTCGAATGAAAACAGCCTCTTGCAGAAATGCAGGGTAAGGTTGCGTATAATAGACCCTTGTGGTCTGGCCTTTTTCCGGACCCCACGCATAGCGGTGACTTAGTTCAGCGAGCTACAGCATGTTTGTGCTCTTCCCTTTCTTGATAGCAATAAAAGTAAAAGTGGCAGGACGTATGAATCTACATCATGAAAATCAATCTTTGTTGTCATGGCTGGAAGATTTTACAGAAAAGAATCCATTTTTTTGCTTTCTTTTTGGGGGTTGGGAGGTTTTGAGTCAGGTTGATGCAATACAGTTGTGGCTGCACAGGTTCTTTGCTTGACAACAACAGTGAGTACTTCTGTACACCAAAAACTTGTAAAGATTTGTAAAGTTTTGCCTTACGTGGTTCAAATTTTAGTTAGAAAATTGTACTACTGCAGTTTGACATTAGCAAATAAATGGCTTCCTGAGGCCTCCTTTTGATCTTTATTCTCCATTTTGTTAATCATGAAATGAAGTTGCAATGCATGTAATGTAACTTTTGATTGAATTCAATTTAATATTTTGTTTTGCTACACTTTCTTTATAGCGATCTTTGCTGTGCAAATTGATGTACTGGATCTTTGCTGCATTTTATTCTCGTCCATTATTCAAATCCTCATATTGCACAAGTGTAACTGAAATTTGAAGCTGAGAACACTCTAAGGTTGAAACTCAATCCACAATTTTGAATAGGGGTAATGATGAATCCGATCTATCATTGATCTTCTTTTTTTTTACTTCTCTATTAGCTACGTTAAAAAGGTTGAGATAGGATAGTGGAGAATCAACTATTCTAGAGACAAGAAAAGGACGAGAGTGTAAACAAAAGGAAATAACCAACAAACAAATGACTTAGCGTTATCCATTTTCTTGTTGGTTGGCAGTTAGAAGGAAATTTTAGGAATAAATACGGGAAAATGACATTGTATAGTCGCTCTTAAAATAATAGTCTAAACAGAAATTGTTTTTGTTTATTACTTTCTGTATGTTATATACCAAAATTATACAAATTTTATACAATTTTTCGGCTACCAAATATAAATAGTTTCTTGCACGGGTTAAAAGTGATAATACCAGATAAATGAGACAAACGTCATTATCTGAGTACAACAATCTCCACTCTTTCCTTTAATTAATACTCTATTAGTTTTATTTTATAAAAATGTCACTCCTCGGTTTTAAAACTAATGAGTCCTTTTTAGTTTTAGATTATATGCTCTTTTAGTTATAATAATATTATGATAGATCACATGTTCTAAAAGTTTTTCTTCTAAAATTTTGTGCGGGGACACATAAAATGAAATGCAGAAAGTAGTAGATGATGTTTTCTTTCCTTTTTAAGAGAAAGGAAAAATTGGATTGCATGAAAGGGAGATGCCAAACTTGACAATGTGAGGATGGGGACGGACGTTGAAATATTTGTCGAAAATTTAGAATCTTAAAGAATTCAGTGGCGTAGAATATTGGTAAATATCAAATAATAAGGCAAAAAAACCCCACATTTCCCATCAACAGAATTTATGCTATAAACAGAATTTATTCTACTTTTGCAAATAGGGATTAAATGGACCCATTTGATTTCTGGAACCTGGATTTGGATAACATTTCAAAAACCTTTCCTTGTATATGTGGCAAGCCAATCCTTAATACTAGGATAACACTTCTATTTTGGGAGGACTACATTTTCTTTGGTTTGGGATTGAGATATTTAGGACATGTTTGTCCATAGATTTTTTGTTTTTCGGAATTTTTTTTCAAAATGTGTTTGTCCATGAAATTTTATAAGTTTTGAAGATTTTTAAAAAAGGGGAACGTATAGTTTTAATATCAATACGCGAATATATATTATCTTACATAATATTCGGTTGAAACGGGTTTAAATAGAGCAACATGCATCGTGAGAATTCGTATAGCTAACTGCAACTTATTTGGTGAAAGAAAAAAGGACATAATTGTTGTATTATATGTGTGTATATAATTTTACTGGAGAGGAAAGAAAAAAGATAGGAACTAAATTGGTTTCGTCCAAATTCAAAACACTGAATCTATTTTATTTTGCACTCTAAATGGATGAGAAGTCCAACAAGGCAAAATCCGATGGCTTTTCAGTTATGACTAGGATGATAAGCTTTATCCATTCCATAATTTCCAATATTAAGTTAAAATAATTGATGAATCTTCAAGTGGATCATCGAAGAAAGTAATAAAGGTTTGTCAATAATTAAATTTAATATGATGACATAAGTCTTACATGGCTGCTATCAATAGTAAAATTGGAAACTCATTTTTGTTATGTTTTAAAATATGCATAATCTAAGGTTCGTCAATATTTAAATTTGTTTTGTTCCCATTCAAACAAGCTTAATTTAGGTGTCGCTCAGTTTCTTAAAAAAAAAAATAAGTTCCAAGAATAGTAATTTCATAAATCTTAGTTTATATTGCCTAATCCAAAGAAGGTGTTCTAATCTATCTCCTAAAAAACTTAATAATAATAAAGTTGAACTCTGAATGACTCGATAAATGTTAAATAAAAATATATTTATATTTATATAATATACGATTAATGGAAATAATACATATAGGCAACTATGATTAAAAAAAAAGTCACTGGAATTACATGTAACGACTAAGTTTGTATTATTTTTACGGTTCAGTTATCCGAGCTTGGGATCGACAATGTTGTGCGGAGTTGAGGCTTTACATGGCCGATCCGTACCTGCTTCAAATTGAAGTCGATTGATTTATTTTGGGATATGAGACTGTTTCAAGTAGGACAATGAATAAAAAGATCCAATGAGTGGGAAATAAAGGGGAATCATTAATAGCCAGATTTACAATTGGTAACTGAAAATTAATTACAATTTTAAAAGTAATCGAGATTTTGCCACTTTTTCATGTAAGGATAAAATCTGAACGAAAACATCCTTAATAATTCGGAAATATCCAACATAATATGCTAGAGTTCGAATTTTTCACATATGAAATTCCTGCATAATTTCCTGAAATTTCATAATGTGCTGGTGGAGTTCCAATATAATATGGTGGAAGTTTATACGCAGGAGCTCCATAATCCAGCATAATTTGCTGGAATTTCATAATGTGCTGCAGTTCTAACATAATATGCTGGATGTTTATACGCAAGAGCTCCATAATCCAACATATTATACTGGAACTTTTCGTGTTTCAACAAAATAATGGCTATTTTTCAATTATCATTCCGAAAACTAGCTAGTCTGTGCTATTTTCACATATAAAAGTGGAAGCTGAGTAAATAGTGGTCCAAAAAAGCAGATTGGTTGGCTTTCTTGATTCTCAACAGACGGATAATATCTCACAAGCCTGACTGAAGCCCATTGCTCCACACCTCAACCTTTCACCCTTTTTGGTTTTTGCTAATTTGGCACTTCACGACCCACAAATTACAACAAAATGGAAACATTAAGAGTTTGAGCCGTCTTTTTCAATTTCATGGTCCCCTTATAAGCTGGCGAACCTTTATCATAGACCCAATATTTGCCTAGAACATGGCTTTGGTCCCATTTTAATCCCATTTGAGCCGTGAGAATGGAAAAATTAACTTTTTGATAGGCGCTTCCCTTTTTAATGGGTCCTATGCAATTTGAATTTAGATTAGTTGAGCCTATTGGGGCAAAATATGGTTAAAGAAAACAGTTATCCAGCCATATTATCCATTAAAAATCTGTTGGATAATGAAAATTTTAAAAACGGGTCAAATATGAATAAGAACCATATTATCCACTTAAAAATTGGATAATTAATGGGTTTAATTTTTATTTTTGTAAAAACTCAAATTAGGGTTCCTCAAGTTTGGGAGCCTGAAAATTCTTCCAAAAGTGATTAATATTCAAGAAGCCATGAATAATATGGATATTCATATATCCACCGTAACCCCTTTTTTATTTGTATTAAATGTCAGATCAGATAATTTATCCGTTTTTTGTATTGCCCATATTTGACCCGACCTGACTTGTACGTTTGTCACCCCTAATCGTATCAATGAGTTTCCGGACATCAAATACATCTTGAACTTTCATCAGTAATTTGATCCTCAAAGGTAGTTAGATCTTGCAATATTGCCATGGAAACTAGGGTAAGAGATTAATTAATCAAAATATTTCTTTGCTTTAATATGAAGCTTCTGCTTTTATATAATTAGGCATCATTGTGCATCTTAAAATGCGTCAAATATAATATGGTCAGTTGCTTATCCTAAACAGTCAATATTCGGCAATACTTGTTGTTGATGATGTGATAGGTCAAGTCAATTTAGGATCATAATCATAATTCTACAGCAGATTTGAAAGTAGTTAATATGTCATTAACCTTTTAGATGCTACTATAAAAGAAAAAAATTTAGAACATCACAATACATTAGATCAATAATTACACTTCATATCAATCCATTAAAGATTTCAGATAATAAAAATCAAAACCTCCTTTGTGATCTTATTTTTAAGGATCACTTTCCTAAGTGAAAGTCAGATTTATAAGTGGTCATTGAAAAATAGTCACCATTTCAAAAGTAATCGAAATTTAGCCACTTTTCAATACAGATAAATCTGAACGAAAATACTGTTCAAAATCCGAAAAATATTCCAGCATAATATATTGGAATTCCAGTATATTATGGCTCTGCCTCCATCCCCTCCGTCCGTTGAAGAGATCGGTCTTTTAATATATAACTCTTTTCGCAAGAGACCAACAAAATCTAATACATAAAATTGATAAATAAAAATCTTTTTAGGATCATTTCATTTATTTAAATTGTAACTGGTCATAAGAGAGTATTTCTATCCTTTCAGTCTTTTATTATTTGGCATATGTCCATACAAAATAAAG